ACCGCGAGCTCGGGGCCGTCTTCAGCTACATCTTCCCCACCTACGGTACGTGGCCAGGAGGCTCCGGGGCGCCGCGGAGGTGAAGTTAAACCCTTTAGAAACAAAAAAAAAACCCCCCACCCAAACCCCAAGAAAATCCTTTTTTCTTTGCTTTTTATAAGGGTGATGGCTGTCGCGGGTTGCGGGCGAGGGACGCTGCGTGCATGGATGCTCTGCCAGCACCCCTGTCCCCAAGCCAGCGGCCGGGTGTCCCCGTGTCCCCGTTGCTCGCCTTCATCTCTTTTCCTCCGCATCCTTCAGCTTCACGGCGTGGAAGCATCGCTCCTCTTACGCAAGGGAACATCTACCCGCCCTTAACCTCGCGCTGGCACCCACCGCCCCGGCCTCGCCGGAACCCTTTCGCCCTGAGCCTTCCCCTTCCCTTCCTCCCGTCCGCCCCGGGGGTTTGCTCGTGGACCCCCACGACTCGGCTGGTTCAGCGGGTGCAGCCCGAGTTGCGAAAGAGCCACGGGCTTTGCCACGGGGCCACCCCCGTCCGACGCCCTCCCTGCTCCTCCAGGTACCGACGGCCCATCGTTTCTCACCCGCATCCGTCCTTCCTTACGGCATCGCGTCCGGCCGAGAACAGGGCATTCCTTGTCTTAAAAACTTCAGGATAAGCCACAAAACCACGATTCGGCACAAACTCACCTTACGCTGCCCCTTTTTTTTCAGGCGTGGTCCCCTCCAAGGCCAGCTTCTCCATGCACAGCATCCTGGTGAACCACTTCCTCCGCGGCGCGTGGTACCCCAAAGGGGGGGCCGGGGAAATCGCTTTCCGCACCATTCCCGTTATCCGGAAAGCCGGAGGCAACGTGTTGGGAAAGGCGCCGGTGCAGAGGATCCTGCTGGACTCCCAGGGCAAAGCCTGCGGTGAGCGCCGGCACGGGATGGGGCACGCGTTGGCTTCTCCCCGCCGCGGCGTTGCTTTTAACCGGACCCGTTCCTCCCCTCCTCGCCTTTCACCTTCCAGCTGTGAGCGTCAAGAAAGGCCAGGATTTGGTGAACATCTTCGCTCCCGTTATCATTTCGGACGCCGGGATCTTCAACACCTACGAACGGCTCCTGCCGGCGGAGGCGCGGGCGTTGCCTGGTAAAACACGGCAGCGTTGGGTTTCATTGGGGTTACGGCATTAATCCCTCTCTGAGCCACATCAAAACGTGGCTTCTTTGTAATTATTTCTTAGACATCAGCAAAACGCTGTCCTTCGTGTTGCGGCACTCAAACCACCACCCCTGGCCATACATTTCTTTGCAGGGTTTTTAATCAAGCCTAAATTAATTTGCCAAAACTGGCCGTACAGTTGGCAAAGCCCTGGCTTGCTGCTCGGTTTCCCTAAAAACCACAGCACAGCGCCCCAAAACTTGTCGAAGTCAGTGAAATGTCTGTTTAAAGTTGGGTTTAGTGCCGGCACAAAATCTTGCTGCTTTGGATGGGGCACGGTTGGGTGGGAAGGGGGCACGGTTGGGTGGGAAGGGGGCACGGTTGCGTGGGAAGGAGCTTTCTGGGCAACGATACGGTCCTGGTCTACAACCATTCAACGTTTGCAGAGCAGGGGTGCATTTGAATCCAAGCAGCTCATTAAAACCAGGAAAAGCTCAAGCCAAGGGCACCCTAAAGCATCCCCTACAGGCAATCGCGGCGCTGCTGCCTTCCTTACAGTCCGCAGCCGTTGCCATCCCACCCCTTGAGCGCACACAGGATGTTTTGAGTTGTACAAGCCAACATGGGAGCAACATAGATACGAATGGGGCGGCTTCTAGGAGAAACCACTTCTCCGTAGCTGAGGATCCCAGAAAATACTGATTTTTCCCTTCTTCCCTCCGTATCGCAGAGATCCAGTCTCAGCTTCGCATGGCGACACACGGCGAAGGGGCTTTCACCGTCTTCGTAGGCCTTAATGGCTCAAGGGAAGAGCTGGGGCTGGAGCCCACCAACTACTTCATATATGCAGGAGATGACCTGGATGAAATGTAGGTTTGGCTTCACCTTAGACGCGCTTCGTTAAGCGTGAGGAGATGAATTCCTGGGTGGCGACTCAGAAAATGCTCTTGGCAGATCCTCGCTGCGTGGGGATTCGGACGTAGCAAGTATTGACGGCAAGGCTCGCATCGAAACCCACCTCAAACCCTCGTGTATCTCTGCAGAATGAATCGCTACCTGGCTTCTTCCAGAGAAGAAGCTGCCAAGAACATCCCTTTCCTGTTTGTCACCTGCCCGTCAGCCAAGGACCCCACCTGGGAAACGAGGCACCCAGGTAAAGGCTGAAGCCCAACCACACACGCTTGGGAGTGGCTCGAAAACTCTTGCTGTGGTTTGGTTGGTTTGATGAGATGTTGGCGCGTGTCCAGAGAAGGGCAACGAGGCTGGTGAGGGGTCTGGAGAACAAGTCTGATGAGGAGCGGCTGGGGGAGCTGGGGTTGTTTAGCCTGGAGAAAAGGAGGCTGAGGGGAGACCTCATCGCTC